GTCTCTATACCAATAATTCTTTAAAAAATCTCCGCCTGGAGACTTCTGGGATAAACATTCTTAAAGAAATCTACACATAGAGACTTCTAAGAATCCTTGCCTGGAGACCTTTCGGATAAACGTTCTTTAAGAAATGTTCGGCTCAAGAACAACAAAGCAGCAGGAGCCGATTGGTTACCAGCCGAACTATTCAAGACTGGTGGCCAGATGCTAGTCAGGAGCATGCACTAGCTGATTAGCACAATTTGGCTAGTTGAATGCATGCCCAATGATTGGAACCTCAGCATCCTGTGTCCCGTGCACAAAAAAGGAGACAAGACGATATGTGCCAACTATAGAGGAATATGTCTCCTTCCCATCGCATATATAGTACTATCCAGTGTGCTGTGTGAACGATTGAAGCCAATGGTCAATGACATCATCGGATCATATCAATGCGGCTTCAGACCTGTCAAATCCACCATTGACCAGATTTTCACTCTGCGCCAAATCCTGGAAAAGACCCACGAAAAACACATCGACACATACCACCTATTTGTCGACTATAAAGCCGCATTCGACAGCGTATCCCTTCAGAGGTGTTTAAAGCCATGTCTGCGTTCGGCATTCCTGCAAAATTAATACGGCTATGCAGGATAACTTTAAGTGGCACAAGGTCAGCAGTTAAAGTAGGAAAGGACCTATCGGAGCCCTTCAATACCGAACGAGGATTCAGACAAGGTGACAGTTTGTCGTGTGATCTTTTTGAACATTCTACTGGAAAAGGTCATACGAGACGCAAATGTGAACAGAAATGGCACTCTGTACACCAAACAACACATGTTACTCGCCTATGCCGATGACATCGATATAATGGGTCGAACATTGCGAGCGGTAACAGCCACCTTTGAACAAATTGAAAAGGAGTCTGCCAAAGTGGGTCTGGCGGTAAACGGCGAGAAGACCAAGCTGATGGTATCAACGTGCAAGACGTCCAGTAGACTCGAACCAACTGTGGAACTTGAGAACTACAGCTTCGAGGTAGTTAAAGACTTTATATACCTTGGTACCGCCATAAATAAAACGAATGACATCAGTTTTGAAATTCGGAGAAGGATTGTGATGACCAACAGATGCTACTATGGTCTAAGTAAGCAGTTTAGAAACAAGGCCACCTCCCGCCAGACCAAACTCACACTTTACAAGACTCTGATACTACCCGTGCTATTATATGGATCAGGAGCATGGGTACTTGCGCAAGCAGATGAGGCAGCTCTTGGGATGTTTGAGAGAAAAATTCTCCGAAAGATCTACGGGACGATCTGCGTCGACGGTGAATATCGGCGTCGAATGAACCACGAGCTTTACAATTTATACACGGACATCGACATAGTCAGTCGTATTGAGCTGCATCGACTTCGGTGGCTAGGTCATGTTGTGCGGATGAATGAAGATGCCCCAGCTCAAAAGGCATATAAAAATGAGTCCACTGATGGCTCCCGTAGAAGGGGAAGGCCATGAATTAGATGGAAAGACCAAGTAGAAAAAAACACCTTGGAACCTGGTCTTCCAAATTGGTGGACTTGCGCACAAGACCGACTCGCTTGGAAATTTTTTTAAGCTCGGCTTATGGAACAACCTTTCTATAACAAGCCAGCTAAGTAAGTAAGTAAGAAATCTCCGTCAAGAGATCTTTGGAAAAACTTTCTTTAAGGAAGCGATGTCAGGTGATCTCTGGGATAAACATTATTTAAGTAATCCTGGCCTGGAGACCTCTGGGGACAACATTCTTGAAGTAATCGATGTCTGGTGACCTCTGGGATAAACATTTTCTTTAAGAAAACCATGCCAGGAGACCTCTAAGATAAACATTCTTTAAGAAGTTCACTCCTGGAAACCTTTGAGTTAAACATTCCTTAAGAAATCTCCATCTGGAGATATCATAAATATATATTGGTTAAGAAAATCACGCCTGGATACCTCTGAGATAAACATTTTTTAAGAAATCCACGCCTGTGGGCATATGGGATTAACTATATTATATAAATTCGCGATATCCTTTAAGAAATCTACGCCTGTAGACCTCTGTGATAAACATTATTTAAGAAATCTATGGCTGCAGAAAATACATTCTTTAAGAAATCCACGACTGGAGACCAGTGGTATGAAGTACATTTAAAAAAAACACGACTGGAGTCATCGTTTATTTAAGAAATTCATTGCCTGATCCTGAAAAAAAATATTTCTTAAAAATCCAATCCTGGAAATCTCTTTAAAAATACTGCATAAAAACGCATACCTTAAAGTCTCGGACTATTCCGATAAAGGAACGATAGGAACTAGATACAGTCCTTTAGTTCCTATAGTTCTTTTTCTGATCTCGTACCTTTATTTGATCTTGTTCCTTTCACTGATTCACGACTGGATTCATCGGAGATAAAAGTTTATTTATGAAATCTACTCATGAAGACCTCTGGATTCATCGGAGATAAAAATTTATTTAAGAAATCTACTCATGAAGACCTCTGAGATAAACATTCGTTAAGAAAAAAATATTCCTAAAAAATGTCACTCCTGAAAATCTCTGTAAAAATACTACCGGTAAATTCACCAATATAGATAGTTCTTTACTTCAAGGTATGGGGTTTTATACCTTATAGTCACGAACTATAATTTCTTGTATTGGTAGGACATTTTTAGGATTGACAAATGCATATGATGGCTTCTCTCTCTCTCTTCGCAGGGAATCAATTGGACATTGGACAAATTGATCCAAAGATGTCGAATTTTCAAATAAGTTGTTATATTTCGTAAATCTTCCCGTTAAGGTATTAAGTTCATGACTTATTTCTAGAAATTCATTGCCGAGTATTTTTATTTTTCATTCATTCAACTATGGATGAAAAAAAATCAGAACTATGTGAGCGAAAAAAAACAAGTGAAAAAGCGTTAAGATCGGCCGGGCCGAACTTTGGATACCCTTCACCATAGGTACTTGAAATGAAAACATAGGGAACATACCAAAAAATGGACCTATACCGACATTTCTACAAACCGATTATGTAAACAATAACTATACCCTCAGCCTTATGACTAATTAGTGTGTATACACTTTCACACGTTGAAAATGTGCCTCATCGATGTTTCTTTGGACCAAATTCGTTTCAGAAAAATTTGATTTCATCCCATCTTATTATGTCTTCCAAACTTAGTTCAAGTCCGAATTTGGGGAATATCGGTCCATGCCTTCTGGTACCTCCCACACAGGGGCCACAGCTAAGCCTAAATGCGGGTTAAAGTTCACATATAGTTCATTATCGAACCGTACGTTCTAGTTTTTTATCTCGATATCCTTCGCAGGTGAAATGATTACAACAGAGTGTTAGAACCAAACCCAAAACGCGGAAAAATCAGATAATTATATTAATATAAAAAATGGGGTTATATGGGGGCTACGCCTAAAAGGGGTTGACTATTAATAATTTTTGATAGGGAGATTTGTTTCCATATACGGCTACAAAATACCAAATTTCAGTGATTTCGGTTGAAAAACGCGCTCAACAACCTCAAAATGCCGAAATTTGTGGGTACCTTTATATGGGGGCTACCAGAAAAAATTGACTTATATTTATAATTTTTAGTGGATATATTTGGTACTCAATAAGAACCCAATGTACCAATTTTCAGCGAATTCGGTTGCAAAACGCGCTCAAGAAGCCCTAAACACCGAAAATTGGGTTACACTTATATGGGGTCTAGCAGAAAAAATTGGCCTATATTCATAATTTTTTGTGGAGTGATTTGGAACCTTTTAAGAACTCAAAGCACTAAATTACAGCCAATTCGGTGGAAAAATACGACCGAAAGCCCCAAAATACTGAAAATTAGGAGGTACCGTTATATGGGGGCTACCAGAAAAAGTGGACCTTTATTTATAATTTTTTGTGGAGACATTTAATACCCAATAATAAACCAATGTACCAAATTACAGCGAATTCTGTTGAAAAACGCACTCAAGAACCCCAAAATACCGAAAATTGGGGGGTACCCTTATATGGGAGCTATGCCTAAACGTGGACCGATATATCCCATCTTCAAACTTGACCTGCCTGCAGACAAAAGACAACCCTATGCAAAATTTCAACACCCTATCTCAATTCCTTCCGAAGATAGCGTGATTACAACAGACGGACGGACATGACTAGATCGTCTTAGAATTTTACCCTGATCAAGAATATATATACTTTATAGGGTCGGAAATGAATATTTCGGTGAGTTACAAACGGAATGACTAAATTAATATACCCTCCATACTATGGTGGAGGGTATAAAAAGGACGATGCAAGACCGAGATTCAAAGAAAATAATTTATATGGTGCAAAGAGACTACAATAGGGAACTAGTTCCTTTCTAAACAAAGGAACGACAAAGTTCAATCCGCTCCGTGAACTATATTGAATAACTCTAAATTCTAGGGAAATTTTTAATGAAACAATTCTCTCCTGGACAAATTTTTACCTGCAGTAATTCACGCTTGGAGATCACTGAAAAATGCCTTCCTTAAGCAATCCTCTCCTGGAGACCTCTGGAAATTTGCTTCCTAAAAATCCATGCTAAGAGAATTCTTAGAAAATGATTCCTAAAATTGAAACCTTAAGATTTCAATTCTTAAAAATCTTTAAATAATTATGACTTCAAAATTTGAAATGTATTTAATTCAATTTACGTGTTTGTATAAATTTTGGTTCATTCTATAATTATATTTGGAAGATCTTCTGTTGAACATTTCAATTTCCAGTCAAATTCAACAATCTTTGTCTTCTTACTATTCCACACACCATCATAACACTACCATCTACATATTAATAACCTATCAAGAAATCTGTGAAATCAATATACAAACTTTTGTCATATTTGTCGAACGTGATTTTCACACACTTCTTGCCAGATTGCTGCTATTTCATTTTGTTATTATCAAAGCTAATATTTGTTCCATCACATTTTCCTGTTTGTCATTGCAGTGTCGTGTCTTACTCAATCTACGCACTTCACAGCCATTCGAAGAAGTGCTGGAAGATTTGGGTCAAGTGCTGAAAATTAATGGAGCTAAGAAAATGTACACGGGCACAGGACAAGAGGTATGTAGAGAGAAGTAATATTGATTGGGAAGTTTTTGTAACCAACAGTTAATGGATTATTTTCTCCCCAGGTACGCAGTTTTTCACAGCTACGCAATGAATTTGCCGATGTGGACACGTTCTATTTGGCCACCGGTACAGCGCTGATTGCCGGCTCACCCATACGTCGTTCACGTTCACGACCTTCGGTAATGGCTGCCGCTCCCATACTTCCAACCGAAGATCTTCCAAAGGTTCCTTTACGTGGTGCACGACCACGCAGTAAAAGTCGTCCACGTATTTTATATGCACCGGAAAGTGAAATTTTACGCACAAATGGGGAATACAGTATGATCGATATGATGAAAGAAGATCCAACGAAGGTCACTATTAGGGGACTTCGACGCACATTTTATCCACCACTACATCATGCACCAGCCGATAATACACCACCAGATAAGAAATTGCAATTACAATGGGTGTAAGTATGCCGAGGCGAAAGATGTTATTATTTTTCGGCAGGTTTCACATGCTGTAATATGTCGTTTATCGAAGTTTTAAAGTTCTGTGGCCACACAACAAAAATTAAAAAATATTTTTTTAGGACAACAAAAATAATTAGACTTTCAAAGTTATTTAGTTAATAATTGCCATGGAACTTTAAAAGTCGGGTATCCGTATTTGTGATATTTCAAAATCAATTTTCCTTCTTTTAGCCATGGCTATCGCGGCATTGATGCCAGACGCAATCTTTGGGTCTTGCCATCCGGCGAACTTTTATATTATGTTGCTGCAGTCGCCGTTTTACTAGATCGCGAAGAAGATGCTCAGCGTCATTACACCGGACATACAGAAGATATTATGTGGTATGTATTAGTTTTTATCGCGAATATTAATTTCGAAATAATAAGTGTAAGAATTGCATCTTAGAATTTAGGGATTATCGTTCCTGAAGCAGTTCACTCTGTAAAATAACTAGTTCAGTCATTTAATTCCATAATTCCTTTTAGTTCAATCGTTCCTTGAAATTTGTAAGTTAAGTCAGTCAAGAAGGAACTAGGTGAACTAGAGCAAAAATGAATGGCTGAATCAATGGGAACTATTTGAAAGATTGTTCCTTTAGCGGAATAGTCCCTTTTAGTTCAATCGTTTCTTGGATTTCGTAAGTTAATTCAGTCAATGAATGAACTAGGTAAACTAGAGGAACTATATGAACGTTAGCTCCTTTAGTGAAATAGTTCCTATAAATTAGTCAATTTAAGTATGGCCTAACACTATTATTATCCGTAGAATTTAGAGATGAGATTTTCGTTCCTAAGGCGGTTCACCCTGTAAAAGATGTAGGTCAGTCACTTAGTTCCATAGTTCAACCGTTTCTTGAAGTTCGCAAGGTTATTTGGCCAATGAACGGGAAGATCTATATGAACGATCAAATCAAAAGAAACTTGGCAAACTAGAGATATAAACGATCGCGCCATTTGACATCAAAATATCATTTACCGAAAAAGTGGAACATCTTCGTGCAAAATTTTTCACAAGAACAAGATAGGACTTTCAAGAGAAGACGAATCATTGTGCATGACAATGCGATCTCTCACACTTCTGCTAAATTCCAAAACGTGAAATTAATGGATCATCCGACGTTCAAGCGAAACATGAAACCCAATGACCCACTCAAAAAAGGCTCGTGGGGATTGGTGCAAAGAAATGTTTTTCAAAAGATGTTAAATATCGTTTCGTATAACGAATCGCAGATTTCTTTGTATAAACTCGAAACAAAACTGCAATCAACCGTGTGGGTCTTCGAAAATAAGCCGAATCCGAAAGTTGCTCCTTTTCTTTTCGGCAAAATTGATCATGTGGTTACTATTCTACTTGAGCAAGAAAGGACTGTCAAGAGAAGACAAATCATGGATCATCCGCCGTACAAGTGAGATATGAAACCCAATGACTTCTATTTTTCCTGCAGATCAAGAAAAAAATTATGATCAACGATTTTCCCCACTAAAAAAATATGTTGGAGAATACTTTGTTTATTGATAGAGCCATAAACCTAACCTCATAATCGGAGTTAAATGTTTGCCGTTTCAAAAAAGATGACGGTAATAACCTAGCCATTAAGGGCGACCCTTCTCATGACGATGTAACCTACTTTTTGATGCCTAAAATTGAAACTTGTGGTATCGTCGACATTTGGTTTCAACAATTTATTGAGAGAACTACTCGGTGAACAGAGAGTTTTATGGTATGGGACTGTCGGTTGGCCATTAAGATCGTGTAATATGACATATGTAAAGTCTTCCGATCAGAGCTTGAAGCAAAACGCAGAGTTCTGGTATATAAAGAGTTTGTGAACTATGGCCGCTGCAGAATGCGAGTAGGCAATATGAACAGCGACATCCAACGATTTTACAAAAATCTGACCTCGCCGGTATAATGGTTGTTGATTATCTTAAACTAGTTCTTCATAATGGGCATTGGTGTAAGATGAGTTTATAATTATATTAAGTATTACTCATGAAACCCATATTCATAAAACCAGGGGGTTTAATTTGACGTATACGCTAGCAAAATAAGCGAAGAACCCTGCAAGAAAAGACAAAAGGAAGTTCGTAGAAAATTGGGCAAAAACAGCCGAAGAAACAGCTGGCCAGAACATAAAATATCGTAATGCAGGATATACAGGATTTCATTTGGGGGGGTGTTGTGTCACTAGTACAAAATGAAAACATAAATTTACTGTGAAAAAAATTCAGTTCGGGGCTACGTCGCTTAAAGCTTATGATGGTAGAAGAAAACCCCCAGCTGGGGTTTGAATTATCTAAGTCTAAAAAATGAATCAATATTCCGAATAGTTCATATGTTATGCGTACGTATTATTTGAAAATCCGGCCCAAATCTATCAAATTAAAACCGGGTTTAAACAAACCCCTTAGCTAAAAATTCAAATCCCGGCTAGGGGGTTTCTTCAGATTTTGGCGGTCCATATTGCTTCAAGATTTTAGTTCTGCACAGTGTGACCACCACCACAGTAACGTCAGGACCAACACTAATAATAATAATAACAGTCCAATGGAAGATTCGTGTAACGCTCCCAGCTTAAATGAAATAAAAGAGAAATTCTTCGACCTCACATCATATCAGCTTAGGAGGAAGAAAGTGGAATACCTCATATTATATGAAATTGAGAGTAAGAGAGGCATGGTTGTGCTGTTACCCAAAAAAGAAACTTGAAAGATTGTAACTACTGTAAAGGAATAACCCTGCTCGACACCACACACCGAAGACAATTACATAACATACTGAGAGATGATGCAGCCTCATTGAGCAAAAAGGATGTAAGCCAGTAAAAAATCCGAATAATTAGATAGGTGTACGAGGATGCTTCAGCAGCAACACGGAAATTAAGCAAGAATTCCCTATGAAATTCTTATTGTTCAAAACTGTACTGGATGAAATAAGGAATGAAGTCTCCTTCAGAGAAGACGTATAGCATGGAGCCTCTCTCTCTCGCATGCAGTCAAAATTAGAAGGGTTGGGTAGACTGGATCAGAATGTTTGAAGCTCTCTAACAAAAAGTGGAGTTGCCGAAATGGATGTAATAAATAGAATGCCAGAGCAGCATTCGGACTACTGCCGGGTGGAGAAGTTCTCATATATCCAATAAAACCAAGATACAAAATATTCGAAGCATGTATAAAATCAATTCTGCTATCCGGTAGTGGCTTGTGTCTGCAGAAGCTGCAGGTATTCATAAACAAATGCCTCGGGATTATACATAGAATATGCTGACCCAAAACCATAAGTAAATAAAGGTCTGGAACCTAACAAACTAGAAACCCATACAAATGAAGATTACATGTGGCTACAACATAAGAGTCCATAATCAGAATGGCGTTTGAATAGAATCGGCAAGGATCAGGAAATCGAAAAGAAACTCATGGCGACGAACAATAGCCCAAGAGCTAAGACAAAATACCTTACATGGCAAGAATCAAAATGCAACGGCATTTTATCTAGTAAGTTGACGATGCTTTCTGGAAGCCCTAAGAGAAGTGATAGGAAAAATGGTTAGAAGATCGAGTGGGTTTCGTAAATTTTGACGAATGAAGAGACATTGATGGCAGTTAGTACAAATCTAGGGTTGATATAACTAAAAATTTATCCCTGTTTGACTAAATTCTCCCTCCTCTACACAAGAGACTCTCAGCGAGACATTAACTATATCGACGCCTCCGAACCATAGTATACTAAGTCGACTTAGCATGTTTTAAAGTTCTTTACGTTTTTAGATACTACGGTCCTTAATTTAAATTCTCTGAAATTTTGGTAATCATCGGCCAATCCAAACCAAAGTTATAAGCAAAAATGTACTTAGCATGGCACGTAAGATATAAGAAACTTCCATACCTTGAGAGCTTCTACTGAAACTCACTTTTCAGACTTAGTATATTATTCTATGGAGGCGTCGATATTTATTATAAAAAAAATGCCTACTCGCTAAGTGAATACTATGAACACTACTTTCTCGACTATTTATCTTTTCTTCTTATCGTTATTTGTTCAGCATGGACGTACATCCTTCACGAGAACTTGTGGCATCGGGACAAAAAGCTGGACGTGATCGAAAATCTCAGGCACATGTACGCATTTGGAGCACTGAGTCCTTGCAGACGTTATATGTTTTTGGTATGGGTGAATTGGATACGGGTGTGACTGCGGTTGCCTTCTCACAATTGGTAAGTAAGACCTAATTTTAATTAGGGAAACTAATTTAGGCATTCATAAAGAAAATATTTCATTATTGATATTAACTTTTTAATTTTTTAGAATGGAGGTAGCTACATTTTGGCGGTGGATAGCGGGCGTGAAAGTATACTCTCCGTGTGGCAGTGGCAATGGGGGCATTTGTTGGGTAAAGTTGCCGTAAGTATTCTCGAAGGATATATCATGAATTATTTTCGACTTAAAATACCTTTTTTTCAGACTTTACAAGAAGGTTTATCTGGTGCCGCCTTCCATCCTCTAGACGATAATTTAATTATAACACATGGTCGCGGACATTTGGCTTTTTGGCATCGTCGCAAAGATGGCTTTTTCGAGCGGACAGATATTGTGAAGCAACCGTCACGTTCACATGTTACCAGTGTACAATTTGAACCGGATGGTGATGTTATAACCGCCGATTCAGATGGTTTTATTACCATCTATTCGGTTGACTCCGATGGTGCCTATTTTGTACGCACCGAATTTGAGGCACACACAAAGGGTATTGGTTGTCTGATAATGTTGGGTGAGGGTACTCTGCTATCGGGCGGCGAGAAGGATCGTAAGATTGCTGCCTGGGATTCATTGCAAAATTATAAGAAAATTGCCGATACCAAGGTAAGTGGGAGGGAGGGATTTTAATTTATAAAGGGATTTATTGGATTTCTTTTGTCTTTAGCTTCCTGAATCTGCTGGCGGTGTACGCACAATTTATCCCCAACGTCCGGGACGCAATGATGGCAACATCTATGTGGGTACCACACGCAACAATATTTTGGAAGGTTCCTTGCAACGACGTTTTACCCAAGTTGTTTTTGGTCATGGCCGCCAATTATGGGGCTTGGCCGCCCATCCCGAGGATGATCTGTTCGCCACGGCAGGTCATGACAAACACATTGCTTTGTGGCGTAAAAGTAAACTTATTTGGACCATACAAACGGGCTATGAATGTGTTTCGTTGGCATTCCATCCGTTTGGTACTGCCCTGGCTGCTGGCAGCACTGAGGGTCATCTATTGGTTATTAATTGTGAAAATGGAGCGGTTATGTTGACACTAAGGGTGTGTGGTTCACCCATAAATTGTGTGGCATTTAATCAAGGTGAGAGCACACAAAATGGCGCCCAACGTTTCATGTGTGAAATAACATGTTTTCTTCTTCATTCGTTTCAGTGGGCGATATGATTGCAATGGGTTCTCAGAATGGCAGCATTTATTTATTCCGCGTCTCCCGAGATGGTTTCTCCTACAAGAAAGTGAATAAAATCCGTGGCTCTCAACCGCTGACCCATTTGGATTGGAGTATGGATGGTAATTTTGTGCAAACGGTGACAATTGATTTTGATTTGCTGTTCTGGGATGTGAAATCGCTGAGTCCCGAACGTAGCCCCATTGCCATGAAAGATGTCAAATGGTTGACAAGCAATTGCACGGTTGGATTTTTGGTGGCGGGAATGTGGAGTAATCGCTACTATAGTAATAATAATACAATTATATCTACCTGTACACGATCCACGGCCCAGGATATGTTGGCCTCCGGTGATGCAGATGGTTATATACGTTTGTTTAGGTATGTCTCCGTCACCAGCTGAGGATGGATATTTTATTTATTAATTGTTTTGTTGTTGATTGCAGATATCCCTGCATAAGCCCCAGGGCCGAATTTCACGAAGCCAAAGTATACTCAGGCATGGTGGCCTGTGTACGCTTCCTATTTGGCGATCAAACTTTGGTTACTGTCGGCGGCACTGATGCCTCGTTGATGGTTTGGGATTTGGTAGAGGAATAGCTGAAATGGCCACCGTGGCGTACAACTGCACAGTATGAGGCCCGCTACTCGGATTACTGGCGTCGTCGAACCTCCAAACAATCCTCCACCGTGTTGGATAGCGATTCTTTGGAATACCAGTAATGGGAGTAGTTTGCCCTTAATAGACATTATCCAAATCCTTCCTTCCTCACCAATAAACAAACACACATACAAACAAACCACACAGAAGAGATATAGACATTTTTTGCATTTTATTTTTACCATGGCTTTTTACAAAAAAAGTAGAAGAAACAAAAATTTAAAAAAATAAAATCTATTAGTATAATAAAAAATAAAAATATTTTCCAATTGATCGAACTTCCAAAATGAAAGTAGTAGAAAATATGGAAATCTTCCCGACATAGTTTTTTTGGTCTTCCTTTAATTTCATTTCGTTAATTATTAGTTTTCCAAAACTCTCTCTCCTATATCTACTATCTGTATTTGTTTCCTTATACCCCTTCCTTCCTCCCTCCTCCCCTCTCCCCCTTAAAAGTTCCTTTTCCCCCCTGCCCCCTACTCTACAGACTATAAGCCACTGGTGGACTTTATCTTATCTTTGACAACAACAACAACAGAAAAATACCTACAGATAACTCAGCCATTTTTTATACATTACATATTTCATTTGTTCCGATTTTTGGACTACATCTATATATATTTTTGAATCCCTCCTCCATCATCTGATAAGGATTATCCTCTCTATCTACAACTTGTCGTCCATTTTAGTGAATAAAAAATAATAATTAAGAAGAAGAAGAAACCACATTTTATCTAGTAATCCATTTTCGTAGTTTAATGAAATGAAACAGAGAACAAGAAGAAGACGAACAACAACAATAACAAACAAGAAAATCCCACACCCAAGTGCACTTTGATTCATTGAAACAAAAAAAAAACGAAAAACAAAATAATGTTTAGAAAAACAAAATTTAAAATTATTATTTATTTGTAATATTAAGATTTTGAAAATATGCAAAAGAAAATGTGTTTAATAAAACTACGAATAATGTTGGCAATGAAAGAGTATATTAAAAACAAACAAAAAATTATATAATAAAAACAAAGTTAAATAAAAAAAGTTTTAAATACTTTATGTTTAACGTGACCGTTTCATACATTATGCACGACCCCAGTTAATGTCAACCCACCTCAATATTTAGTAGTAAATAACGTCTCACCCTAAACCTAAGCCAGTATCATTACCTGCGTACTTCAACTTCATTGCATTAAACAACAGACAACTTCTTTGAAGTACACAATAATTCTCATTCACTTCATAGTACCATACGGATATATGTTCCACTTTGCCATGCCGAAGTGGTCGACCTCGGACGTTACCGAACTACGAGTGACGAAGATGTGTGGCTTGTCCGCAGTCTCGTATACTGGTGAATGTTAACGACGATTCGACCTCGCTCATAGCCAGCTCCCCGCTCTTTGCCAGCTCCTCGCTCTTTGCCAGCTCCTCGCTCATTGCCAGCTCCTCGCTCTTTGCCAGCTCCTCGCTCTTTGCCAGCTCCTCGCTCTTTGCCAGCTCCTCGCTCTTTGCCAGCTCCTCGCTCTTTGCCAGCTCCTCGCTCATAGCCAGCTCCTCGCTCATAGCCAGCTCCTCGCTCTTTGCCAGCTCCTCGCTCTTTGCAAGCTCCTCGCTCATAGCCAGCTCCTCGCTCTTTGCCAGCTCCTCGCTCATAGCCAGCTCCTCGCTTATAGCCAGCTCCTCGCTCTTTGCAAGCTCCTCGCTCATAGCCAGCTCCTCGCTCATAGCTAGCTCCCCGCTCATAGCTAGCTCCCCGCTCATAGCTAGCTCCATACTAGCTAACTAACCGAACTAACCGAACCCTGAAAACCCGAACCTGCCGACCAACAACGAGTCGATTGTATCCTGCCCTGAACCAGCAAGCCCCCGAGCCTGCCGACCGAACACCAACGAGCCGACACCAGCAAGCCGAGTCCTGCCCTGATGACCGAACACCAACGAGCCGACTGTAGCAAGCCGAGTACCAACGAGCCGATTGCATCCAAACGAACATCAACGAGCCGACATCAGCAAGCCGAGTACCTACGAGCCGATTGCATCCAACCGAACACCAACGAGCCGACTGTAGCAAGCCGAGTACCTACGAGCCGATTGCATCCAACCGAACACCAACGAGCCGACTGTAGCAAGCCGAGTACCTACGAGCCGATTGCATCCAACCGAACACCAACGAGCCGACATCAGCTAGCCGAGTATCTTCGAGCCGACTGTAGCCAGCCGATCTCCAACGTACCGACATCAGCTAGCCGATCCCCAACGAGCCGACTGTAGCCAGCCGATCTTCAACGAGCCGACATCAGCTAGCCGAGTATCTTCGAGCCGACTGTAGCCAGCCGATCTCCAACGTACCGACAGCAGCTAGCCGATCCTCAACTAGCCGACTGTAGCCAGCCGATCTCCAACGTACCGACAGCAGCTAGCCGATCCTCAACGAGCCGACTGTAGCCAGCCGATCTTCAACGAGCCAACGTCAGCTAGCCGAGTATCTTCGAGCCGACTGTAGCCAGCCGATCTCCAACGTACCGACAGCAGCTAGCCGATCCTCAACGAGCCGACTGTAGCCAGCCGATCTTCAACGAGCCGACATCAGCTAGCCGAGTATCTTCGAGCCGACTGTAGCCAGCCGATCTCCAACGTACCGACAGCAGCTAGCCGATCCTCAACGAGCCGACTGTAGCCAGCCGATCTTCAACGAGCCGACATCAGCTAGCCGAGTATCTTCGAGCCGACTGTAGCCAGCCGATCTCCAACGTACCGACATCAGCTAGCCGAGTGTCTTCGAGCCGACTGTAACCAGCCGTACACGTTCGAGCCGACCACAACCAAACCCGAATACCAACCAGCCGATTAGTTGCGAGCCGACTTAACCACCCCGAGCCGACTGTAACCAGCCGACTATTAACGATCCGACGTCCACACCCAGCTACCATTACCGATTAGAAGATTCCAACATAAAAGCTTATCTCACCTCCAGACTATTATTCATATTGTAAACACCAGAGTATTATAATAAAGATTGAAATTGTAATCACTCGTGTTTTTACTTAAGGTTTGTGGGTCCTTAGGTTGACCCTGGCAGCGACTGAGCTTACTTCAGCCTTAGATAAAACCACTCGTTATAAATGGCGCCCGAGCAGGGACCCGACGAAAAGACGAACAGCGAAAAACCGAAATCCACCGCCAGCGAGGATTCGTCGTGGTCCATGAATAATAGTAGGAACCATTCGGAGGTAAGCGACTTCTTAAGTCCGGAATCACTTAGCTGGATATATTTGCTGAAACGAGAGCAGCTAATTGAACAAAGTCAGAAAGTTGGACTTCATACCGAAGGCTACACTGTAGATAACCTTCGGAAACAACTAAGCAAACATATTAGAGAAAAACGAACACGCGCATCCGCTGAAAACCTATTACGGGAATTAGAGAAGGAAGTTAAAACTTCGGTGCCATCATTTCTACCAGAGGCATCTGTGGAAGTTCCTTCGTCAATAGATCGTACAACGAGTACAATGTCATACATCGAGTTAATGAATATAATTCACCGTTGGTCACTCAAATTTTCGGGTGACCACGATCTGATCGATTTCCTCGAGCGAATTGAAGAACTTGCCGAGTGTTATAACATTCCCCTGGATGGTCTACTCCCTTCGCTCCTTACCATATTAGAAGGAAATGCGCTGAAATGGTACCGAGTGAAACGAGACGACATCCACACATGGACCGACTTCCGATCGGAAGCCGAAAAATTCTTCCTGCCCAAGCGGTACCTAAGCCAGATAGAGCATTCCTTCTACAATCGCCGCCAGCAGAACAAGGAAAAAGCTAAAGATTACATATTAACAATGCTCACCACTTCGCGGCGTCATCCACAATTAAAATCGATGAACCATCTGGATCGCATATACGACGGCCTTCGACCGGAGTACAGACATTATGTACGGCGGTCTGACTTCCAGACCTTAGATGAACTGATAAGCCTAACCGACGACTTCGAGCTGATAAAACGGGACGAGGCCCGAATGGAGAAACTTCATACGTCGCACACGCTCCATGCAGCAGATACCCCCTACTCTCGGAATACGCACTGTTGGCGCTGCAAACGCCCTGGTCACACGCGGTGGCGGTGTCAACAAATTCCGATTCGATTTTGTTCTCGTTGTGGTAGAGATGACGTTCTCTCACGAGACTGCGACTGCATTGATCCCGATCGTAGGAGTTCGGCATCCCCAATACAGCGACCGGTCAGTCGGTATTTTATTTCCGTGTGTGTTGAGGGGATCAACGTAAATGCCCTAATTGATACCGGAGCATCGCTCAGCTACATTGATGAGACTATGCGACGGAAGTTACATTCAAAAGGAGTATTTCCCGGCACGACGAAAAGAAAAATCCAAATGGCCGACCAGACGGTAACGAGTTGCGAATCGGATCTTCGGTTAAATGTCGAGTATAGAGGAAAGATTACTAACCTTGGCGTCACCGTAATTCCAACTCAGGCCGAACCACTGATATTGGGTATGGACTTCCTCGCGAAGCGGTGTTGCAGGTTGACTCTAGATGGTGAAATCATAGTACGAACTAGAGATGAACCGATCATCGATTATGCTCATACGATAACATCTCGGGATTTTCTTACAGTCGAACAGGAAGCCGAGTTAAGCACTATGCTCCTACGCCACACAGAAAAGTTCTCGCAGTCCAAGGGTCTATGTACGATAGCCAAACACACAATAAAATCGAAACATCATGAACCAATAAAACAGCGGTACATACCCCGCAATCCAGCCATGATGGAAGTAATAAATGCCGATAATCTCCTGTCACAAGATAAGATTGAACCTTCTTGTAGTCCATACAGTGCCCCGGTTGTATTGGCTCGAAAGAAACAAGGAGGTTGGCGAATGTGTATAGACTACAGGCAACTACACGAAGCCAGTGAACCTGATGCCTACCCAATACCAAACTTCGCAAAAGTTGTAAGCCCACTAAATTTGCTTCAGAAGAAATCGGCACAATGGAAATGGGGACCACTACAAGCGGAAGCATTCGAAAACCTGAAACTAAAC